AACCCTATAGCATCAATGAGGTAACCCCTAAAATAACAGATGAGTTCGTTGACGAATTTGCTGGATGAACAATGTCATGGATTTTTGATTGTTCATTCATCATCATACATTAATAGTAAAGACAGTTAACATTTGAAATTCATTTAGCACATGAGCATGTATGGTTTTTCACAGGAGTATGGAACGGAACACGAGATCGCAGAAGAAGAGCAACTTGAACGAGGAGAGTCCAATGAATCTAACAATAAGCGAAGTTCTACATCTAATGTCGGTCTTGCTCAGCGAAAACCATTAAAATACGAGTTCTCATTGGTGATTGATTGCTCCGGGTTTCCATATGTCGATTATCTTGGACTGGACACCATTAAAAAGGTCTGCTCATCAGGAATATTATGCATAGCAACATATTGTTCGCAAACTACAGAAGCGGTTCAGTTTTAAAGAATGTCTGACGATAGTAATGTGAAGAAGCAGGGTATTTTCGAGTCGTTCGGAAATTCGGAAATTTTTGCATAGTTCTAATATTATATTTTGCAATGCAAGCGACTCACTTGCTATACATCAAGTAATATCCGATCGGTTGAATCGTTCTGTAAAAAACTTCAATTCCAATGCAAATCTTTCTCAAGTTGAACGGTGACATTACTTGCAGATGTACACGGAGCTGAGCCGGGACGGCATTGACGTTTATTTGGCTGAAGCACGAGGTTCGCCAAGTGCTCATGAATTTACTCTTATTTTCCCTTTCCGACAAAATTTCTTCTTTGTTTAAATCGCCATCTACCGTTTGTATTCGTCTCATGTAAACTTTCATATCAGTTCAATGGTCATGAATGATTTGCTAGGTTTCATCCCAAATCCATGCTGTTTAGCCACATATCTCCATTTACTGACGTCGTTTCGATCGTGCAATTCCACATTTTAAGAAATAGCCAGCTGTTACTGAACATACGCAAAAGCAAAACGATCATGTCGATCATTATTGTATTGTCATGGTTCAGCAATTGGATCGATTGCGATTAGCGGCATTTTCAGAAGATCTGAGGAAAATGTTCGAGCAGACTGATTTCTACGAAGTGGTTGATCGTACACAACTCTTCACACACCTTTCAGATGCCGTCAACGCTTCTGAGGAGAAAAGGTGAAAAAAAAACTGTCTGAACAAAAACAATCATAGGAATTGAATTTTTCAAGAAATCAAGGAAGCTCGTTCGAGAAACTAAGGGCCACCATGCCTCAAATGCGGATGTGAACCATGAAAAAATGCAATAGAAACACTACTGACGATGAATAAATCATCAGAGCGTGACTGCATTCAATTTTATTGCAAAAATAAAATTTCAGGAAACAATCATCTGTCGTGTTGCCGGATTCGCAACAAATCGAGCAGCAAGATTCTGAAAATGACACAAAAGTCGTGGACGTCGTCGCGAGTGATGAAGCAATCGTCGATTTGAAGTTGCAATTGGCTATCGGTATTTGACGGCAAGTTGGTCGTTGGTCGATCAACACGGAACTGAAGAAGTTCCAGGATAATCCGATCCAACATCATACACAACATTCATTCAGCTACATGAGACGTGGTGGAATAATGTGATTACCGTGAAGGCATCCTTGTTTCATTTGATGAAAATGATAAACGACGAATGACATTTTTTGCTGTATTAGCAGTAAATTGCAAGATATTCAACATGAATTGCTTAAAAAATCTTTATTTCACCTTCGCATTTTTTGGTCAATCTCAATACACGCTTTTTGACAGTCAAAAATCTAGTGATATCGAATGCAAGCCGATAACTTTAGACATTCTGGTGCTATCACATCTAGCTCTTCTTCACCAATTCTTCAGACATCAGTGGTTATAGCTGTGAAAGAAATGCAGGATTTGGTACTATTATATCGAATTCTGAGATGAATTTTCGGTGACAGGTCTAATCTTACTCTTGTAGATCGTTTCATATCGCTAATAATAAGTTCCAAATAATTTTTTTGAACGTTTCTGATAGGTGTTCAGTTCACGTTGATAGCAGCAGTTGAAGTTTAAGCACTGTTCTTAATTTCTCTGCATGTGTATATGTATCAGAATTTGATAACTAGAAAGCTAAGTAACAATAGATGTTCTCCTTACGTAACTTCTGCGCTAAGAAATTTGTGTCTTAGTGATTCTAGTTCGATTTCACCCGATTCAAATTGCATTATGTGCGTTCAACTGAAGCGATTAACTGAAGTGCTTCCGGTCTTCAATCCTATTCGTTTCCAGTCGTCGTCGTCGTCGTCAATTGACACAGTTTTCAAATTCACTTACTCATATCAAGTCTCAGCTTTCATGCGTTGAATAATTCAACTACGTTCATATTGTGTGACCAATGTGAGAAAGTCTCATGCTCATCGTATTACTTCATACTAACTTAACTCGCGTAATTGTTCAATGACTACTATGCACATTTCCATTTATAGTTTCATCTGTTATTCCCACAAATTACTAATATTGTCACGAGTGCTTCCTTCCGTATGAATGATTCATCGAGAGAAACAAATATCACAAAAACACATTCCATGCGCATTCCATTTACAACCATTCACATAATGAATTTCTCATAGGAACATGTTAGTGACAACTTTTTACATTCACTCTCATTTACACGCAAAAAAAAGCGAGCACATTTATTTGTTTAGGAAAGCACTGCATATGAAAGAATATTATTAAGCTGAATCAACATTCCGAAGCCACTCGAAACATCACTAAATCAGAATGAATTATTCAAGATATCCGGACAAAGATGTCTGGACACACCATTGATAGCAGCAGTACAATTGTTCAGTACCAATTAACATCGCTACTCAGAACATCCCTCGCATACTTATGCATCTATCTATATTGCGAAACGATCTATTTTACATATGCAGTAAGCAGATGTTCATTATCATTCATTAAGAATTTGTTTACAAGAGAATTATATGTTATTATATCAGTAGCGATGTTATTAGCTAATTGTAAGTAATGTTAATATCTGAATGCTTTGTTCTTCGTATCAGACCAGATTAAACTGACAATTTTGCTGTCATCGCATGCTCTTCAATAAACTATTCTTTGACCACAAGCACACTTCCGCCAACGTCTTCTTCGGCGTTTCCGTGCAACTCAACAACACAACAATCTGAAACGCAATAAACACCGCAATAAACGTGCTGAAACTACTACTAGCCCTGACTCATGCTGATGATAAACTGATAGAAAATCCATTTTCCAGTTCATTAAACTGATGGGCAGCTAGCTGTTTTGATAGGTTGATGGCCAATTTTAGCCCTTTGAGACAGATTGTCACCAGAGTGATGAAGCGAACAGCTATTTATAGTGTATATAACGAATGCTTTATTCGTTATATTGTCACATTTGCATACTTCATTCATTGAATTTCACGAAGACATCGTAACGGAATTAAATTAACTTCTGTGATCAATGCAATAGAGCAAAATTTGATCCCTGATTGAACACTTTAGGCAAACGATAGCTTCATAATCGTTCTCATTTACAAATAAAGGATATTGTTTTCCACATCACAGTTCATTAACATATCCACTATACGGGTGAGTAGTTGCGTAAATAAACACTTGATGCGCATCTCATATCCGTTCAAATTGTTGATAATCTTCGAATGCCTCACATCTTATTCAACATCAAAAATTCTGATAATCTACCTCAAAATCGTGATTTCAGCCAGAGTCATTCATTACCCCGAAAAAAATACTGGTTTGGCAAAAAAAAATTTAAAGCCATGTTTTGAAATATCATTCAATTTTTGTGGCCAACATCTTTTTTGACAATCAAGGATTTCTTTGTAGAAGTGAATATTCGATGAGTTGGCATTTAGAGTTGGATTGCGTCTAGTCAAAAACCTCAGGCAGATAAGGAGACTTGAGCTTGCAAATATAATGTAAAATGGAATAACGACTGAAGAACGAAGACACATGAAAGTCTGAAAAACCGATTCATTCTTGATGACCTTAACGCATTTTTCATCGCTTAAATGTCATTCTTAAGAGTATTTTTTCACCAATTTTCTTGGTGACACAATTCGAGATACTTATTGAAAAGGTCAAATATTAATTCTACCTTCATTCCGCTCGTCACCTTTTTGGCTGTATCGCTTTGTGCCGCAGTCAGTTAAGAATTCACTCCACTTCGGATTTCATATAAAAAGCTCATTTCTCACCTCATCATTCAGATTTTGCAGATTTTCTTAGATTCGAAGCTGACAAGTTCAGTCATTAAACGTTTTCAGTTGTGTAGTTTCAAAAACCTCTGCAAAAGATCAGGTGATTTTGATTTGCGGTTACGGCAGACCTAATGGTAAGCTCATTCAGATGATGATGTGCTCAACGCATGACTAGGATATTAGATGAAGTGAATGCAAATTACATTGAAGCTCACGACTGAAGTTTAGTGAAAAGTCTCGGTAAGGTGAACAGTCATTAAATCATGTATTTGTTATGTAGCAATCAAAAGAGTGGATCAGTAAGTGCGTTCGTAAGCAGTATGGATGGATTAGCTTTGAAATGCTCTAAGTGAATGCTCGGTTTTTTGATGTGAATATGAACGCACGAGAATTAAGGACACGCAAACATACGTATCAATTATTCATTTGCAATCCATACATTTCTGAATGACAAAAATGGATCTGAAAGTTAAGTTGCCGTAGTCTCTTAGTATTGATCAAAAACAGCCAACCATCTGCGCATAACATTAACTCGAACAGCATCCTATGGCAAGTTCCGTGGAACAGTTTCGTTGTTTCACCCACATTTGTCTATCTTAATTCCGTCTTTTGCATCAACTTCACCAAATAAGCTATTTGTGTTTGTTTTGTCTTCATGAAGAAGAATCTTTTGAGAAGTGCTGCTCGTTTAGCTAACGCGCATAAGCTAACTTG